GGGGAAGAGCGTGCTCTGAGTACCTACTGTGCACTGGGTCCTGCTAGACACTCACGGAACCTTGACAACAGCCCTGGGCAGGGACTAGCATCCCATTGCTCAGATGAGGAAAACAGTGCAGGGCTGGGCATAACTCCCCAGACCCACAGAAAGAGCTAAGGCCCACTGACCCTGTTGCCTGCACTTGCTGGTCCGCTCTGGGCCTGAGTGCCCTTCCCAACCTCCGCATCCTTTCTAAATGGCAGAAGGGGGTTGAACTGATGGTTTTAAGCATCAAACTCTGGCCTGGAGGCATTTCATTAAGAGCCACTGGGCCCATTTGAATGCTGCTTTGCTGCAGGAAATGGTTTTCCTCCTTCAGCAGAGCTTCCTGAATCCCTCAGCAAGATTAGCAGCCTGGGCAGAGGAGGCAGGAGAGGAGCAGCCTGGGCAGGAGAGAGACGGCAGCTCACACTCAGCCACTGGGTGGGTGCCGGGCGAAGACTTCCAGCTGGGCGGTCTCGGCATCACTGGTTTCTTGTAGATCTGTGACTCACATGTGGCTTCAGGTGGCTGGAGGGGAAACAGGCTCCTCTGTTCAGAAAAGGCCCACATTCTGCCCTTTGTTTTCCAAGGAGGGGCTCGCCTGGGCTCTCTCTGTATCGGTTTATTTGTGCCATGATGAGTTTTGTGGTGAGGCTCCTGGCTTATTGACCATCTGTGTGTTCCTGTAAGTCAGAGGTGCTGGGAGCACCCACCCAGAGTGAGCACTGGAGGGCAGGGGCAAGAGGGGTTGAGAGGTCGGGGACTGTACCTCATCTTCTTACTTTTTACAGCTCAGGCTGTTGGCCCCATTTACAAAGTGAAGACTGAGGCTCTGAGTGTGTTTCCTGGCCTGCTACTTACCAGTGTGTGACCTCAGCAAGTCACTGGACTTCTCTGAGCCTCAGTCTCCTCCTCTGTAACTCAGTGACAATAATTCTGGCCTCGCGGGAGTCACTCTGAGGATTCAGGTTAAAGTGGTCAGCATGGCTCCTGCTGGCACATGGTGGGAGCCCACTAAGCAGAACTGTTGTTCTCACAAGGTAGGGTCCCTGGGCATGGAGATGGCTGAACCAGGACGCTGGGAGCTGGGTTTTAACCATCCTGTTTCCTTTTTCCTCTCACCCAAGATATTTGAGATGATGGATGCCAAGGCCAGGCAGGACTGCGTCAAGGAGATCGGCCTCCTGAAGGTGAGTGCCCTGAGCGGGATGGTCCCCTCGGTGGACAAAGTCCTCAGTTCAGCTGGAACTGGGCTGACTGGACAGACATGCCAGGGCCTGTCCGGGGTGAGGCGTGCAGGGTGGGGATGGTGGTGAGGTCTGTGGTCTTTCCTCAGCCCCGCTAGCATCTGCATTGGCTCCCTAGAGTCAGAAATTATGGGACATTCTGGACTTGACTTGGCCCTGGCCTGGCGCAGCTCTGTGCTTGGGATCCCCCCCTACTCCCCAAGGTAGGATTCTGCTGGGATCTCAGAAGTGACAGAGAAGGGGGAGCTTTGGAGGCCCGGGAACCTGGGTTCAAATCCTAATGTCTTTATGAGCTATGTGGCCTTAAGCAAGTGACTTAATCTCCCTGAGCATCTGCTTAATGGTGAGAACACCTGCCTCACAAAATGTAGGCAGATTGAGAGAATTAAATAAAATAATATCTAAAGAGGGCCTGGTGCAGTAGAGCACACAGTAGGTGCTTGCTCCGTACCTTCCTCCCTTTCCACGAAACAGGAGAGCTTGCTTGGTAGCTTCTTAAAGTGGGGCTGCTGGTGGCAGTGACACTCTTGGAAGCCACAGCTGCAGAATTTCAGGTTAACAGTTAATCCACTGAGCCCTGCCCTGGACGCTCAGGCCTGGGCCCTGTCATTGAGGACTCCTAGGTGGTGACCATTCAGGGTGATGCTGGCCAACTCAGAGGCCATGGAGTCCAGGGGAAGCCCTGCAGAGGCTGGGGCCCAGCTCCGTTCCAGAACCTGAGGCTGAGACGAGCCTGCCACAGGAACCCTGACAATGTGGATTGGAGGCCAGTATTGTGGTGGCCTCAAATGCCATCTGAGGACTTAAATGTGGTAATGATGCATCACAGTGACGAGGCTGGAGCAGGGAGGCTTGTAGGGAGCTGTCCTTAACTCCAACTATATAGGTAAAAAATACCCTTCAAATAACATTTTAAAATATTACATAATGGTCACCTCTGGAACCCTGTTGTGATTTGGAGACTCTTCCTGATCACCAGCCCTGGGAAATAGCAGTCCCAGTCACCCACTCGTGGCTAAGAACACGTGTGCCATCCACATCGAGTAAGGAATTGTACATGCATGTGGGCTGAGCCTGCCTGTTGAGGGTCCCTGGGTGCAGAGGCATGTGAGCGCAGCCCCTTTGGCGAAGCAGCCCAGCGTGGTGTGAACCAGCCAGCCGCGGGCAGGGCTCTGTCTTCCCCAGGCGGTGCAGCTGAGTGCCAAGGACCGTGGGCTTCGGAGGCGAGCGCACCCTTTGCTCACTAGCTGTGTGGCCGTGGGCAGGCTGTTAACTTCTCAGGGCTTCAATTCCCTCATCTGTACAAGGGGGTGATGACAACAGGGCCATCTTCAGAGGTTTGGAGAATCGGAAGATGCTGGAGTAGCTCAGTGTACGCTGGTGTGTGCTGGGTGCTCAGCCAGAGGCAGCCCCCCGGTCATGGCTGGGCAACGCCAACCCCTTCCCAGAACGCTGATCCAGCTCCTGGCCTGCCCGTGGGAAGTCAACAGGATGTGCCAGGGCAGGAGGTGTTTCCTACAAAACAAAGGGAAACACGGTTCTCAGAGGGGCTGCTGGGCGACATTGGCCATACTGTTCATGCCAGGACCTCCCAGTGCAGAGGCTATGGTACATGGGGCAGAAAGGCATAGATTCATGTGTTTATGGATTCGGCACAGGTTGTGAGCACAGGGGATGCAGCCCAGCAGGGAAGGCAGATCCGAAAGGCCACAAGTGCAGAGAGTCCAAGAAGAAGGGACCTTACATCGATGGGTCTTTTGCTCTCAGCCCTGCCTCCCTCTGGTCACTTTGTTGGACATTTCAAGGGTATTACTCCACCTGATCTTCACAGCATTATGCCCATTTTACAGATGAGGAAACTGAAACTCAGAGATGCAAAATGACTTTCCCAATGTCACCCAGCTCTGCTTGACTCCGAAGCACAGGCCTTATCCATAAGACACTCACCTCTCCAGCAAATGCCAGGGCCCTGTCAGTGGGTGCCAGCTGGGTGCCAGCCCGGGGCAGGCGCTGGGGCTATACCATCTCTCATTTACTCTGCCTCCCTCTCCCTTTCTCTCCTTGGGTAGCAACTGAACCATCCGAACATTATCAAGTATTTGGACTCATTTATTGAGGACAACGAGCTGAACATTGTGCTGGAGCTGGCCGACGCGGGTGACCTCTCGCAGATGATCAAGGTGAGGGTGCCTGGTGGGCAGACCCGGCCTGGGAGCTGCCCAGGGTCCCAGCCCTCTGGGACACTCAGCCCCCCTCGCTGATGCCCACAGGCCTCAGCCGTGGCCCAGAGGGTACCCTTTCAGGCCATGTCCCCATTTGCTGTGAGGGCCAGCCATAGACAAAAGAATCCCTCTGGCTACCCCCACGGTCCCAGCCTGCCATGGGCTCATGGGCCACTTCTCCTGCCTCACAGAAGGAGCAGGCACAGAACCCTAATTAGGTCAGATACCACCAGCTCACAGAATCTGGGAAAGTGTCTCCTGGGTCCAGTTGCCTCATTTTACAGGAGGGAAAACTGAGCCCAGAAAGGTTAAGAGACTTTCCTGAGGATACCCAGCAATGTGGGGACAGAGCCAGGTCTGTAGCCCAGGTCTCTGTTTCGAGGCCTGGGACCCTCCTGTGGATATCATCCCCAAGTTGATTTCCCAGAGATTCTTCCAGCCCCTGAGGGGTATCTTCATTCCCATGTAGCAGCCAAGGCTAGGAGTCTCCAAGAGGTTAATTGACTTGCCAAGTCCCACAAGCAGGCTCAGTGCCAAACCTGTCACTTGCTGTGTATTCCACAGCAGCCCCCATACCACTCCACCCCCTCACCCCCACCTCCTTGGACCCAGGCCCAGGCACACATGAGTCTGGAATCAGGGACCATCGCAGCCCCCGTGATGGAGCACCTACTGTGGGCACAATCCTGCTGACCACTAGCATCACTCACTGAGTCCATACTGTTCTCAGATAGCAAAGCTCAGAGAGGTTCAGTTACCTGCCTGAGGCAGCACAGCCTCTAAGTGGGACCCTCAGGCCCAAGCCCTTAGCCCCACTCTCTGCTTCTCTCTCAAGGCCTTCACTGCCCTGCTGGCTTGACACGAGTCTGCAGGCCACTTTTATGAGTCCCCTCCCCCCCCCGCCAGCTCCCAGCCACACTTGTGAAGGGAACCAGACGTGGATTCTCTGTCTCCCACCAGGCACTGGGGGTTGAGCAGTTGCTCGGCACTTGCTCTTCTGAAATTTGGCTCCTAGGAATACGGGCGTCTCTGGGAAGTGGCATTACTGGAGCTGTTATCACCCGCTTTTATATTTTCGTTGACATATTAATGTATTTGCAGGGATGTTAATCTCCACACAGATCCCTGGTGGGCACAGATGTGCTATATCATGTCTTAGTTCTTTCTTCTCCCCCGCCCCCCACTTTGTCTCTCCTTCACATGTCGCGCTCCCACTGAACACGCATGCACCCAGCACCCACTGTGTGCCAGGCCCATCCTGAGACCAAGGGGTGCTGCCAGCATGGGCGCTGACCTCATCAAGAAGCTCCTCTTCTAATGGGGGGGCAGAGCTGTGAACAGTGAGTCATGAGCCAGTTAGAATAGGCCATGTTCAGGGCCTGCAAGGCAGGAAAGGCTTCCTGGAGGCAGTGACACCTGAGCGGACCTGAGGGGAGACACAAAGTCTACTGGCAGAGCAGTTTGTGAAAACTCCAGGGGGATGCAAAATTGAGGGGGCCCACAAAGCAGTTTGGTCCAGGAGAGCAGTGTGTGAGAGGGGATTAAGGTTAGGGAGAAGCATTGGACCACCCAGGGCCTCCTGGTCCAGGCTCAGAATTTGGGACCTTGCCCTGAGGTCATTGAGAAGCTTCCTAAGACTCATGGTGGAGTAACATGTCAGCTTTGCGTTCTAGAAGAAAGACTGGATGCCTAATAGTGCCGGGGGGGCGGGGTGGACAGGAGTAGGAACGGAAACAACAGAGAAGAGACGCGGAACGCGGCCCGCAGTGAGGGCACTGGACTGTCAGTCCCAGGAGACCCCAGACTGCTTGCAACCCTCAATCCATGGAGTGGGGCTGGAGCCTGGCAGCTGGGAGGCGTGGGTGATGGGGCAAATCAAATCTCTCCCTTCCCCGAACTTCAGTTTCCACCCCTGTCCCAAGGGATGCATGGGAGGGCACTGTGGGAACCAGACCCTGTGTCCCAAGGGCCCCCAAACTCGGCGCCAAGCATCATGGCTACAGCCATGGTGCTGGCATTTACTGTGGATGCTGAAGCCAGGAACTTCCACCACCCCAAAACCCACCAGAGACTCAGGGCCTCCCCACTAAATGTCACACAGCACTTATTGGATGTGACATTTAGAAAATCACCTCTCGCAGCCTTGCGCATCCCGCTTAAATGCTGTAATGAGGATTACCCAACATCTCGGCATAAATAACACCCCAGCCCGGCCCAACTCGCAAGCCTGGGGCGCCCGGGGGGGGATGGAGGGGTCCTGTGCTGAGGGCGATCGGGGCTGAAGTAGAGATGTGAACACAGTGGCCATGCCAGGCACCACCTGCCCTGCCGCTCAGCCCCTCACCTGGGCCTGTCCATCTGTCTGTCTCCCCACGCAGTACTTCAAGAAGCAGAAGCGCCTCATCCCCGAGAGGACGGTGTGGAAGTACTTTGTGCAGCTGTGCAGCGCCGTGGAGCACATGCACTCCCGCCGGGTGATGCACCGAGGTGCGTACGTGCCCCCCGGCTCCTCAGACTTTCCTGAGGAGGTTGGACCACTTTGTACCCCCAAACAAGTGGCTGTCGAGCATCTTCTGTCCTTAGTCGGGTCAGCGAATGAGCATGTACGCGGCCTTGGGCTCCACTACCCACACATACCTCGTGCCCCGTGTCAAGAGCCTCCCCATGGTGGGTGTACCAAAAGCCAGATAGTTACATGGACCCCAGGGAGCAGGGGCCATGCTCAGTACATCATCGTCAGCCCCCAGTACCAGCCTGGGGCCAGCACAGAGCGGGGTGCAGCAAGGACGGGTGGAAGGGCTCCGCAGGGAGACAACCCAGTCCCAGCCAGCTCTGCCTTGGAGGGCAGGGAAGGAGGCATCCTAGAAAAGGGAACTTTTAATATGGGCTTTGAAGTCTTAGTAGGAGTTGGCTGGGCAAAGAAAATGAGACTCCTACAAAGGTATGTTTCCAAAAGTTGACGTCATCCTGAGTTGTGAAGAAGAAGCCTGCTGGGTGCCAGGAAGGGTGCTGGGTGCTTTACACAGGTTACTTCACTGAGTCCTCCATTCATTCGTTCATTCTACCTGTGTTTACCAGTGTTGCTGTCTGTGAGGCATTGCCCTAGTCACTGGGGAACAGTGCAAGTTACTGCACGGAGCTTTTCCTTCCCTTGTTACATAAATTCTCCAGTGCCTACCATGTGCTAAATACTATTCTAGGCCCGAGGATATAGCTTTTAAAAAGGAAACAAGAGCACAGAGATCCCTGGCCCTAGACCTCACAGCAGCCCTGTGAAATAGGTAAAATTAGACCCATTTATAGGTGAGGAAACAGGCTAAGTTTCCCAAGGCCCCGTGGCGGGGCAGCGCTGGGGCCTTGCTCTGGGGGAGCAGGACTAAAGGCTGGATCTCCATCACCTGGAATTCCCTGCCCTCCCCCCAACCCCAGGCCCCCTCCTCCCTCTGTCCCTCTGAT